AGAAGAAAAAGCCAGCGTATGATCCATTATCAGCCAATCTGAAATTATAGCATGCTCCGAATCAGGGACACGGTGATGATTACGAGGCATTCAAACTTTCTAAAACATCCCCCGGCATCCAAACGGAGTTTCTACCTGCGCTTTTCACTTCAGGGGCTTGGAGTTAAAATATGGGAGCGTGAAAGTACCAAATTGTCTCCCGTGCCGTATGGTTTCAACCACAACCCACTGAGTTTGTGTTTCTTCTTTCCCTTTGTGTTTCTTCTGAGAGTCCCTGGAGAAAGAAAGGGAAGAGAAAGCCGCAGACCAACAGAAGGAAAGGATGCTCTCTCTCCAAGGCACAAGGCAGAGGGCTGTCCCTACCTGACGTAGGATTTGGCTATCCACTACTCCGTCTGAACAAGGCGAACCAGCCACCTTAAGCAAGGCTTCCCTGATAGAGTTCTAATGTGACACACGTCACCTACCTGGTGTTACACAAGTGAAAGTTACCACGCTTTCCCTTACAGAGAGAGAAGTTTAAAACCCCCCCTAACATAGGAATCCTACAGAAAGAAGCCGCCCTATGCTCTAGAGGTACCTGCTAGCTCAGCACGACAGCACGGTCTTTTGTCCTTTTCTGCTCTAATGTGTAATCCCACTGGGAAAGCTGATGTGGTCATAATTGCCTTCAAAAACAAAGATAATGAGAGACAAGCAGTCTAGGAGGAAATAGAGCAAAAACAAACCGGCTGGAGGCACATAAAATCTAGAACTCCATTGACCTCTGCAGTCAGCTGGCAGAAGGAAAGGAAGAGAGCTATCAGTTCTACCCAGCTGAACCCCAAAGAGTAACAGCAGGGGGCTGAGATTTGGTTTGGTTTGGTCACCATAAAAGCACTCGTAATCTCTGATGCCTTCCTCTTTGCTTTATTTTTAATTGCAAAAACAAAAACCAAAAAAAACGAAGGGGCAAGGGGTGGAGGTCACAGAAGAGACTTCACCCATTAAAGTCAGATGACTCACAAGGTATATTTCACAGGATAAATAAACACACAATTCATGAGAATCAGCAGACTGATTCCCAGTGGTATCCAGCTTAATCGATTGCTCCTCTGTTTCTGTCCAAAGTGCTTACTTCTGGCCAAATTTTAAAAAACATTTTAAAATATGATTTAAATGGGTTTTCTTCTGCTGGCCGTTTCCCCTGTTAGTTTTCAGTCTAAGGAAGTATCCTGCTAACATAAAATCATCAATAATCTCTATAGTTCTAGGCAAAAGCAACTTCGTTAATATCAAATTTAATAAAGGGATCATCATTATCCTCATCTCTCTCTCTCTCTTTTTTTAAATTTCTAAAAAAAGAAAAAGTTCATTTAAGAGTCAGTTCACACAAGATATAGCATCTGGGGTCTTAAAGGCTTCAAGGTAAACAAGAGGCCATCTAGCTCAGAAGCAACAAAGCCCACATGGAAGATGCACACCCGCCTGTGCGATCAAGAGGTGTGGAAGGGATCAGATATCAGATATCAGGTATCAGGCATCATCAGAACCAAAAATTATATCATAGTGAAGAGAGGAGGATTGCGGAGTGGAGACCCAAAGCCCATTTGTAGGCCACTAGACATCCCCTTACAGAGCCAGCCAGGGTGCGATGTAGCAACGATGAAACATACAACTTTCCTCTAGTTCCTAAATGCTTCCTCCTCCCCCACTATCATGATCCCAATTCTACCTTACAAATCTGGCTAGACCAGAGGATGTACACTGGTACAGATGGGAACTGGAAACATAGGGAATCCAGGGGGGATGATCCCTTCAGGACCAGTGGTATGAGTGGCGATACTGGGAGGGTAGAGGGAGGGCGGGTTGGAAAAGGGAACTGATTACAAGGATCTAAATGTGGCCTCTTCCTTGGGGGACGGACAACAGAGAAGTGGGTGAAGGAAGACGTTGGACAGAGCAAGATATGACAAAATAATAATTTATAAATTATCAAGGGTTCATGAGGGCGGGGGAATAGGGAGGGAGGGGAAACATGAGGAGCTGATGTCAGGGGCTTAGATGGAGAGCACATATTTTGAGAATGATGAGGGCAATGAATGTACAAATGTGCTTTACACAATTGATGTAGGTATGGATTGTGATGAGTTGTATGAGGCCCTAATAAAACGATTAAAAACAAAAACAAAAACAAAAGAATGGAATTGTAGATTTGACAAATGTATTAAGTATAATGGAAAGGAACTTTGAAGGTGATAAGGTTGTTTTGTAAAAAAATTTAAATACATACCTTTGGGAAAAACATCCATTTGGGGGCGGGCTACCCCCTTGCATATATTTATTATGAATTATGTAATTCTGTTCTCTTCACTGAACAATGTCCAAAAATTTCAGGATCTTTATTAAAATATTAATCAAGCAATTTTTCTTTTAAAAAAAATAAGAGTAAGTTCACTAATGCTATCTCCACAGAGTAAAGGCTAAGTGTGCCTATTGAAAAACAACTGAAAGTCCATTTCAGCATCGTATAAGTACCTTCGACAGAACCAATCAAGGCTCAACTTTCAGAGGGAAAAGGCGTCTGTGTGGATTCTCAAAGCAAGCAAAAGGCCAAAGGCCAGAGTCCAACGACATGACTTTGTTAACAACAGATGCCCCACTGCAAAAGTTAGAGAAGTACGTGCATCAGCAGGAACTTTTGGAGGCTAATTTTTTCTGCTAATCTTGTAAGAAAACCATCTTTTTTTTCAGCAAACTACTGATCACTACCTCCCTTGCTCTGCCACCACCATCAGCCAAGGCCTCCTTGGTTTCCCAGAATGCTGACATGCAGTCACGTGTCTTAGGAAGGTGGGCCGCCCTAGCCGTCTGCTCCAGAAGGGCAAGCTTGATCCGTCTACACCAAGCTCGATGAATCCACCCTCTGGGATGTACAGAAGAGCGTGCCATGCAATCCTGGCCAGCCAACAACATTGGGGAGCCTTTGCAATAACGGTTTATTTGCTTTCAAAAAGAGCCATGAAAAGGGGGGAGCAGCCCACTTCCACCCAGGCCAGGGCATTGGCCGGAAAGTCAAGCTTGAGGGGAAAATGTAAGGTTCTGCAGGTGGCTCAGAGGCAGGGAAAGCAAAGTAAACCCCCAGTCATCCCTACTGCTAGGCTTCGTACTATGTGAACTGCATATTGTCCATAATTACTTCACCTGCTTTCAGGTGGGTTTCCGGTGGTTAGCAGCCATGTGTGTCTCTAGTTAGTCTACTAAGGTACAGTGAGTCCTTCTTCATGGCAGACAGCATTGTAAATCCTTTGTGGGCATTGACTCGATAGACATACCATCCTATGAGGCAAGTTCTATGATGAGTCCCATTGGATAAGTGGGAACCCCGAGGTGTGGGCAGGTTTAGTCCTGTGCCCAACTCTCATGTATGGAAACTGATAGAACAACTAGTTAAGACTAGTTAAGATACAAAACTGTATAAATCACAAGCCATCATATATAAGCGATAATAAAATAAAAACATCAATTAGCTCGAGAAAATTGGTTTCCTAAATAGAACTTCCTTCCCAAAAAATTCTTCTCATGGCATAATATTGCATGCTAACAATTGGCCAGCGGTCCTCACATCCACCTCAACTCATGGCAACAGTAGAAGTAGGTTCCACAGGGCTATCAGGGGCTGATATTTGGGAAGTTGATCACCAGGCCTTTCTACTGTGGTACCACGGAATAGATTCCAGCTTCCGACCTTTCAGTGAGCAGCCAAGTCCAGCAGCCATTGGCACCAGCCAGGTGCACTAATGGTCTAAAAATCATGACATCCACCATGCCATCAATGATGTAAGAGGCAAGTCAGACTTTGGTTAACTTGCACTCCACACATGCACAAAATTATATATTAAGAGGTTGACAATATAAAACATAGTGAGATGAAATAAATTCCATATCGTTGATTCCTCCCCACCTAGATCATTCATCAAAATTTATGAACAACCATTCTAATACTGAGGCAGCAGAATTATTAATACTTTTTAAAGATTACTAAAGCAGTAAGCCATTAAAACAATCTTTCACTGAGTAGTTACCTAGTGTTCCATCTACAGGAATTTCTGTAAGGGAAAAGCCAGGCGGCCAACTAACTATGGATGTGTGTTTTTAATACCAAAATGGTTAAAAAGACAAAGAGCCTACTAGATCCCCAACCACCAAGAAAACAATGTGGATAACGGGGGGGTGGGGTGGGGGTGGGGGGGGGGACTTGATGGCTTTAAAATAAAGGCACTGCTGGGGAAAAAAAGGAAGGGAATTTACACATCAAAATCCACCAGTTAAATGTGTACGTCTCCAAATGAAGCCAAGGCAGCTTGCGTCTTTAACAGTGATGTCACAATTTTGCAAATAATCAGTCTTCCCCAGACAGGAAGCAGGTATTCCTACTGCGTGGTGGACACTTCTGATTCCCTACCTTGCAGGTGGTTGAGACCTGGAGTGAATTAGTCAACTTTAACTCCTTATCAGTCTAAACTGGGCTCCTTGACATTTCTGAAGGGAGAAGTCCTAAAGCTTAGCAAAGTATTATAAATTCGGAAACACCACAATTTCAGCTATTTCTCTCATGAGATGAAGCAGGGAATGACGGACATTTCTATTTACCTCTTCATCAGCTCATTTGAGATGCTGTCCATGAGAGAAGAGGCCTTGAAAATGTCTTCGCACCCTTTAGAATGCAAGGCCAAGTTTAACCGTGCTGGGCCATCTTGTAAACTCTGAAGTCGTGATCCCTCTGGATCTACAGCCTATACCACAACGTACTCATAAAACACTGTGATCACAGGCCCCACAGCTGATCACAGAAATCAGCTGAATCTACCTTAGGTGATTTTTTTCTATGCAGCCTGGCACTTAACTTGTTTTTCAGAACGATTCACCTGAATTCATCATTGTTAGGAAGAGAAGCATCTCTGGGAAGTGGTCGAGGCTGTCACACCAACGACACGTTTGTAAAGTCTCATTTACATTACCTGTTCTTGTTTCTCCAGCCACTTGTCCACCATTGGATGACTGGCACTGAGAGAGGAGCGAGCATTGTCTCTCTGGAATTGGTTAGACCAATTACTGGTATCCCTTGGTAGGCTCCGGTAGTTCTCATCTTTCTATTAAAAAAGAAACAATAACAACAACAACAAAAGTCTTATAAAAACACACATAGTGCAAGTTGGTGAGGCAACTAGGTTTTAAAAAAAAACAAACAACCGCAGAGGAATGATTTAACTATTTCTCCAAGGCTCTATAAAATAGCTGACTGAGGAAAAGCCACCCACGCAGGCCCTCAGAAATGTAGTCATGTTCTTAGAAGGGAGACGAATGGTTGTGTCAGGGACGCTGCTGAAATGCATACATGGACACAACAGAAAAAACACATACTTTGCTCTGCACTCCTGCCCAAGTCGATCTCCACACATCAAGAACATACACCAAAAATGTGAAACATTTCTTCGTCCCAATTCCACAACTCTGTTATGAGCTACCTTCTAATCCGCCAAACAGATTTAAAGCAAGAAACAGCAATAAATGTGGTCCTTATTTAGGTCTTCCAGGTGTTGTGACTTTGTACCGTGCTACTTAAGATTGGCTATGTTGACTTGTATGGCCAGCCAATTGCTCTAAGGGTCATATTTCTTGTTACTCTTTGAACTATTTGTCTATTATCTGACTGAAAGGTGACCTCAAGAAGTGAATTTAGTGTTATATGTTTGTTTGCTGAAGTAACAAACACAAGGGAATAAAAATGTGGTATTTCACCAAAAGTGTAGCAAGTTTTCTGTAATAAGTAAATATTACAAGCATAAAAAAAGACATGAATTTAGATCCAGCTTTGGAAGGTATCCTGGAGGGGGATGTCTCAGGGGTTCCTCCGGTCGCTATCAGTACAGTAAGTCTGTATCTTTTCTCAATCAGCCTCCGTTTAGTCCTCTGTCTTTCTCCCGTTCTAACCAGAACTTAGTATTGAGTCTCTGCTCAAAGAGTCACCGGTGGGCGATGGGCCCCGACTGGTTCTCCTGGACTCTGGATCGGAGACTGGCTCCTGTGGGGTGTTGGCCCTATGGACTAACTGCATCCTTACCTCTTCCCTCTTCACTCTACGTTGCTCCAGACAAGAAGAGACCTGTGGTTGTCCCTTAGGGGCCACTTTCTTTTAAAATCCCAGACGTTTAAGATGCACTGAGTTCAGAAGCAAGAAACACTGTCTTTATGAGCTCTATTATGCCAGCTGACTGTAATAAAGGAGAAAAGCCTGACGCTGCTGAGGATTTCATTTCGCTTGGTTCCACAATCAAAACTCATGGTAACAGCGTCTGGAACTCAGAGGACACCTTGCACCAGGCATGGAAATCTCCTTAAAGTGCTGACAAGCAGAGATGGAACTTTGAGGGCTGAGGTGCACCTGACCCAAGCCATGGTATTTCAGCGTTCTCGGATACATGAGGAAGCTGGACACAGAAAAGGGGAAAACAAAGAACGATGGATGCTTTGAGTTTCAGTTTTGGCAAAGAAGACTAAGTAAGCCATGGCCCGTCAACAGGAGGAACAAATCTGCCGCAGAAGTACAGCCTGACTACGCCTTAGAAGCTCGCGTGGGGAGATTGATTGTCGTGCGCGTTGGACCTGTCATCAGGAAAGGCCATGCCCTGAAGAATGACATCATGCTTGGTAAAGCAAAAGGTCAGCGAGAAAGACAAAGACTCTCCAAGAGATGGATTGAAGTAGTGGCTGCAATAACGGACTGCAGCATAGCAACGATGGAAACGGTGGGGTGGAGATGCACGGCGTGTCACTCTCTTGTACAGAAGGGGGCTAGGAGTCTAAAGGGCTTGACAGCACGTAGCGACCACCATGACATCACACGCACTTCTCCGCCTGCTTGGTAGCTGCCTGAATGTCTGCTCAGGGGAACTGCCTGTTCATATCTGTTGTTCATGTTGTTTATTCTATTGCTTTTTGTTGTAGAGGTGTTGAAGTTTTATGTGGATGGATGATTAGATAGAAGATAGATAGATAGATAGATAGATAGATAGATAGATAGATAGATAGATAGATAGATAGATAGATAGGTAGATATTCCAATCAATCCAAAATCACTCCGATCAAGTCAATGCTGACTCATAGTGACCCTCCTGTGGGTTTCCGAGATTACAACTGCTCATGGTTTCGAACTGTTGACCATGAGGATCACAGTCCCGTGTTTAACCACCACACCATCAGAGCTCCTTTTTTTTTTTTTTTCAGAGATCAGCCCTTTGTAAGATATATCATGAGAAAAGATGTCTAAAAGAAAAATCTCCAATGTGTAGGCTATCTTTTGGTTCTTTGAAGAATGGTTTTCACGAGCATTAAGTATTAAACTTTTAGAAGATCTGAGTGATCTATGTTTTACACACCTTAATGATTGACTGTGTATTTATGCCTTTAGAAATTAGGATCCCCAACTTTTTTGCTGTGCTATCTTCCAGGCATTTCATAGTTTTAGATGTAACCGTTGATCCATTTTGAGTTAACTTGTGTGTGTGGTAGTAGGTATGGATACTGTTTTATATTTCTGCAAATGGATGTCTGGGTTTCCAAGCAACATTTGTGAAAGAGACTTCGTATTGAAGGGACTTCTACCTTGGACCACGTACCAGCTGTCCACGGATGAATAAACCGACTCCTAGGTTTTCAGCTACGCTCCACGGTTCTGTGCTAGCCTTGTCCAGGACCCGGGTGGTTTGGACGACTGGTTGCAGAATACGTTCTAAGAACTGGAATGCAGGGCCCCCTACTTTATCTTTCTTCTTGAACGGTGTGTTAGCTAGTCAAGACCGTTTTCCTCCACATGAAACTGGACATTAGGTTTTCAACAGTGTTACAGAATGTTGTTGGGATTTGGTATATGAGGGGCTATCCAAAAATAGCCGAATTTTTTGGTCAATGCTATGTATTTTCTCCCCCCCCCCCCC